AGGTGTACGTACACCCCAAAGCAGCACCTCACAACCACAGGTGTACGTACACTAGCAGCAGCACCGACCCACACCCAGGTGTACGTACACTAGCAGCAGCAGCACCCCACACCCAGGTGTACGTACACCCCAAAGCGGCACCCCACAACCCCAGGTGTACGTACACCCCAAAGCAGCAGCACCCCATATCCCGGTGTATGTACACCCCGCAGCACCAGCGCCCCATAGCCCGGGTGTATGTACACAGCGCAACAGCACCCCACACGCCCCCTAGGCTCGAGCTACCGCCCCTGCTGCTGCTGCTGCTGCTGCTGCTGCTGTGGATGCTGCTGCTGCGGCTACTGCTGCGCGTCTGCCAATAGCTGTGCTGGGAAGTCTCGTCTTGCACCTGCTGCTGCTGCTGCTGTTGCTGCTCCTGCTGCTGCTGGGCCAGGGCTGGTGTTTCTGCTGCTGTTTCTGTTTAGTGTCTAGCTGCTTTTCTGTCTCCTTTCTGTCTCAGTCTCAATTCTGTCTCACGCATTCTTCTTTCTTTTTCTATTTTTTTCTTCTATCTTTTCTTTTTAATTCTACTTTTATCTTTATTTGTTTGTCTATCTCCTGTCTCCGTCTCTTTTTCTTTTTTCCTTTTTGTCTCTCTGTCTTCTCTTATGCTGTCAAGCGGCACTCTGGCTTTGCTGCTTTTGTTGCTGTTGCTGCTGTTGCTGCCTTTGCTGCTTCTGCTGCTTCTGCTGCTTCTGCTGCTTCTGCTGCTTTTGCTGCTCTCGCTGTTCTTGCTGCCTCAAGTGTTTTAAGTATTTGAAACGTTTTAAATCTTTTGAATCTTTCAAATAATTTAGATATTCTAAATGTTTTAAATGTTTTGATTGTTGAATTTCTTTTTGCTTTCTGTCTCACTCTAAAAGAATAGAGTAACTTCTGAAAAACTCTTTTTGCTGTAAAGCCCTTCGCCGGCAGCCGCCTTGCTGCTTCTGTTGCAGACTGACACACGGCCACCAGCCTCGACAAGCTGCAGCAGCAGCAGCAGCAGCAGCAGCAGCAGTTGCAGGGGTGAAGGCAGAGGCAAGAGTAGTGAGAGAAGCAGCAGCGGAAGCAAGAGCAGCGGCAGAAGCGGGAGCAGGAACCGCAGCAGCAGAAGCAGGAATAGCAGCACGAGCAAGAACAGCAACAGCAGCAGCAGCAGAATGGGCAGCAGCAGTAACAGCAGCAGCAGCAGCATTGGTCGAGAATGGCATGATTTCAGCGGCAATTAAAGCGACTAGAGATAGGACGCAACAGCAGCAGCAGCAGCAGCTGCAACAGCGTAAACAACACCAGCAACAGCACCCGCAGCAGCAGCAACAGCGACAACAAGAAAGCACAAGTCAAAGACCAAACAAAGAAAAAGACACAAATGCACCACGGGGAAATGAGAAAGCAAAAAGGCAAAAAAATAACACGAAGACGCAAGGCGCAAAAACCCTAAACTCTAAACCCTAAACCCTAAACCCTAAACCCTGCCTCACCTTGCGTCGTAATCTGTGAGACTGTCTTCATTGCTTTCTGCTGCTGTTGGTTCTTTGTTTTGCTGCCGCCTCCAGAAAACGATTCCCTTGAAGGCCCCTTCTGCGCTGCTGGTAAGTTTTCGCTGCTGCTGCTGCTGCTGCTGCTGCTGCTGCTGCGCTGGGTTGCTGTCGCTGTCAGGGGCCCCCTCTGGCTGCCCAGCAGTCTTCAGGGGGTAGTAGGGGGCCCCCGTGTCTCTGCGTTGCTGCAGCAGGGGGGCCCCGAAGTAGCGATTAGTTTTTCTCCTTCTTGCTGCTGCTGCTGCTGCTTCTTCCCGCGGGGACAGCAGCAGCTCCTCCGCTGCTGCGAGGTCCTCCAAAGCCACCACAGCAGCAGCAGAACGCGGCACAGGGGGCCCCCGACGGGAGGCCCCCCGACCCCCGTAAGAGGGGGGGGCCCCCTCTAGGGGGCCCCCCTCCTCTTCGAACTGTACCCTCGAGCGCTCTGCGCCGGCGCACTGCCGCAGCCGCGTCAGCTGAATGGGAATGAAGCATATGTTTTTGAACATGAAGGGGGAAAATCCTGAAAAAAAGCAAAAACAAAGACAAAAAGGGAATTAAAAGAACAAAAAAAGACAAAAAAGGAGGAAAGAAATGAAGAAATGGCAATTTAATTTGTTTTAGAAGAAGAAAAGAAGAAAAAAGATGTAAAAAGGAAAAAAATTGAAAAAATGCACAAACACCCACCAGTCCATTTAGCATTTAAAGTTTTGTAAAATTGTCTTTGAGTATGAATGTTGTGTTTCTTTTGTATTATTGTGCGAGTTTGATTATAAATGCAATTTTAATTTTAAAGTAAATTTAATTTTAAATTTAAACTCAATTTTAAATGCATAAGTCCTTGCAGAAACTCCCCTCTCAAGCACTTGCTTCGGCGCTACCAAAAGTCTGAAATGCAAAATAAAGGTTTACGGTTTATAAACCCTAAACCCCTAACCCTAAACCCTAAATCCTTGCCCATAGGCTTTGTAGGTACTTGAATTTTCGCTAATTCTCTAATAATAGACAAGCACAAAACAGTGGATTTCATCTGGGGTGTATGTACACCTGAACTCATTACAGACACCTCTGAGGTGTACGTACACCTCAAGCTTCCTAGAGCGCCAGACTTTCAAATAAAGACCCTGGCACGAAATTTTAAATGATTTTTTTGAATTATTTGCACAAAAAGAAATGTAAATTTCAATTTATCCAAAAGAAAGGCGAAAAGCGCTCAAAAGCCGCATTCAGCGGAACGCAGAAAGGCAAACAACCACGAGCAGACTGGCATGCGCGAAACAACCGAAATAAAAGCAAAAGCAACCCCTGAATGAATAATTCAAACCTGATTTAGACGAATTCTGAAAAAGCTGGGCCGGAAAAGTTGAAAAGGGTTGAAGTGCTTTGGGAATTGCCTCACCTTCGTAGGTGGGGTAGTAAGCCCACATAAACAGGCGGAGCCCCAGGAGCGGCAAGTCCACGAAAAACATCCCCACAATAGCAGCATGTTTCCTCATAGTCTGCACATCTCCCGAGAAGCTATTAGGGGCCCCCTGCGCAGGGCCCCAGGGGCCCCCCGGCGGCTGCTGCTGCGGGCCCGCCCCCGCAGCGCCCGCGGGGGCCCCCGCCCTCCTGAGGGGGCCCCCCGCGGGGGCCCCCGGGGGGCCCCCCCCGCCCCCCCCCACCGCGGGAAAAGAGTAGCCGTGCAGGAAGAGAGCCACGGGCACCAAAATGCCCGCCAAAACGTGCAGCCAACCATTTTGCTGCTTGACTGCAGCAGGCAGCAGCGCGAAAGTGTGGAATGCAGCAACTCCGTCCAAAATGTCGAACACCACGTGAGTTGCTGCGTCGGTGTGCAGCATGGAGTCCAGGCTGTAGTGGCTGATGCCCCCGAAGAGCGCAGCAGCAGCGCGGAAGGCCAGCAGCGCGTAGACCCACGCGCTCAGCGAGAACAACAACCCCACCTCCAGGACCCCCCCCGCGGGGCCCCCGAAGAGGAGGCCCCCCTGGGGGCCCCCCCCCGAGTAGACTGCGAAGAAGAAGAGGAGGTACTTGATGGAGAGGCTCCAGGCGTAGACGACCCAGCAGGTGCCGCCTTCGGTGGCTGCGTACTCGCTGCTGCTGCTCTGCAGCAGCAGCAGCAGCAGCACCAGGTCCACTGCAGCAAGCGACAGCAAGGACAGCGAGTACCGCGAAATGAAGTAGTACAGTCCCATTTGCTGCAGCGCGAACAGACACGCCGTCAGCAGCAGCGCGAAGTGGTTCCAGCTTATCGCCTGCTGCACCTGCTGCCCGTCCCCCAGCAGCTCCCCACCCATCTTCTGCTGCTGCTGCTGCTGCTGCTGCTGCGGCGGCGGCGGCTGCTGCTGCTGCCGGTACGGCGCGGCGGCGGGGGGCGGGCGCTGCGCCTGCGCCGGGTTTGCGGGGCTCCCGCGGCGTTAAGAATGATGCAACGGCTGCTGCTGCTGCTGCTGCTGCTCTTGCTACTGCTGCTGCTGCTGCTGCTGCTGCTCTGGCTCTGGAGTTGCTGCTGACGAGGCTGTTGCCGCGGGAGATTCCAGTTGGAAGAGATCGCAAAAGCTTCGCTGCTGCCCCTGCTCCGTTCACAATTCTGCTGCTCCCGAGGCTCCTCGTGCTGCTGCTGCTGGGCTTGCTGCAGCTGCTCTTCACTGTGCTGCTGCTGCTGCTGTGAAAGAAGCCCCCTCTAAGTCAGCACGAAACGGAACCCAGAACGATTGATGCTGCTGCTGCTGCCGCTATTCTTGCTGCTGCTGCAGCTACCGAGGCCAATGCTGCCGCTGGCCGTGGAGCTGCTGCTGCCTGCTGCTGCTGCAGCAGCAGCAGCAGCGGCAGCAGCTGCTCGCGTCCTCCAGCGGAGACGGGAAACCAGCTAGAACAAAAGCAGCCTTGGCAGCAGCAGCAGCTCTCGTTGCTGCTGCTCTTGCTGCTGCTGCTGCTGCTTCTGAGACGGCAGGCACGTGCTCTCGCGAGAACCCCAGACTAGCAACAGCAGCAGCAGCAGCTGCTGCTGCTGCTGCAGCAAGACGCGACAGGTATTTCTTAGAGAAAAACTTTTAAGTCACGGACGCAGAGCTTAGGGGCAAGGGTTTAGTCTTTAGGGTTTAGGGTTTGGGGTTTAGGGTTTAACTGGAACCGCTCAAGCCGGCGGTCCTGATCCACGGAATTCGTTTTCCAATTAGTGACTAAAATAGCGCTTTATTAAAAACCTCACAGAGGTTCTGCTGCTGCTGCGGCTGCAGTTGCTGCGGCTTCTGCTGCTGCTGCTGCTGCCGCTCGCGCAGCCCTCGGGGGGCCCTGGGCCCCCGGCTGGATTGAGACCTCATGAGCCCCTAAACTCTGAACCCTAAACCCTAAACCCTAAATCCTAAAGTATGTACTAAAATTCCAAGCAGTGCCCGCATGGAAACCCTAAACCCTAAACCCTAAACCCTAGGCGAGCCCTCTCGGGCGCTGCAAGACAGCAGACCGCTGCCGACGCCTCCACACCAAAACCCTAAACCCTAAACCCCGGACCCTAAGCGCTGAAACCTAAGCCCTAAACCCTAAACCCTTAACCCTAAATTCGGGTTTCATCACTGAAGCTAGGGACTTCTGTCTCAGTACCGCCTCTAAATGCCGCCGTCTGGCGCTAGAGCAGTGTCTAAACCCTAACACCAAACCCTAGGCCCTAGCCCTAAACCCTAAACCGTAGGCCTGCACCCCAAACCCTAAACCCTAGCCTAAACCCTAACAGAGCCACAAAGGTGCCGCTGCAAACCCTAGGCCCGGAAACAGGGGGAGCCGGAGTTTGATACTTACCGCTCAACCGCCCAAACCCTAAACCCCAAACCCTAAACCCTAAACCCTAAATATACCTTCTGTACATCCGAGCTTTTTCTGGCCAGCTTTGAGGGCCTACGGCAGCACTGCAGGAGCCGGGTTACCAAGGGTTTAGGGTCTAGGGTTTAAGGTTTAGGGTTTAGGGTTTGGGCTAGCGGCCAGTCAGTTTCTTTTATTTTTCTTCTCCCGATATCTTTTAGGTTTTATCTCTTCAAACTTTTTCTCTTTTAATTTATATTTTCTTTTTGCTTTTATTTCTTTTTTTCTTCATTTCTTCTTTTTTCTTTTTTCGTTTTTCTTTTCCTTCTTGTCTTTTATTTAACTTAATTTTGTTTCTTTTATTTATTTTTTCTTTTCCATTTTCTCATTTTCCTCTTTTTCTTTTTTGTTTTTCTTTCTTTTCCTTCTTTTCCATCTTCTCTTTCGTCTTTTCACTTTCTTTTTCCCTTTTAGTCTTTTTGTTTCTTTTCTTCTTCACTTATTTTTTCTTTTCCCTTTTGTCTTTTTGTTTCCTTTCCAAGAGACTAAAAGAAACGAAAAGGGACTAAAAATATAAAAATAAAATCTTAAAGAAACAACAGACACTCAGAGAGACTTGAAAAGTTAAACAAAGCTGGAAAAAGAATAAAAAAGAATTAGAAAGAATTTAAAAATACATAAAAACATTAGAAAAAAGAAAAACTAAAAGAAAATAGAGACTTAACCTTTCAAACCCAAGTCTCAAGGAAGCAAATCTAAAACCCCCAAAAGGCCCTCGAGGCCCTTGCCTCTGGGGGCCCCAGGGGGGCCCCTGTGGGGCCCCCTGTGGGGCCCTCTGTGGGGCCCCTCAGGGGGGCCCTCCTGGGGGCCCCTGTGGTGCCGCAGAACAAGTCAGGGGGCCCCCCTGTCTCCCCCCCTTCTCTCCAGCATTTTCTGTCTGGCCACATTGAGGGCCTCGCGGGCCCTTTCAGCGAGGGCCCTGTACTCCAAAGGGTACTCCCCAGGGGCCCCTCCTGGGGGCCCCCCAGGGTCCCTAGCTAGGGGCCCCCAAGGGGCCCCTGTTCGGGGGCCCCAGAAGTCCCCGCCTACGGACCCCCAAGGGGCCCCTGCTTGGGGCCCACAGGGGCCCCCTGCTGAGCATCCCTCGGGGGCCCCTGCTGGAGGACCCCAGGGGGCCCCTGCTGGGTACACTTTGGGGGCCCCCCCTGGGTACCCTTCGGGGGCCCCTGTTGGGGGCCTCTGGGGGGCCCCTGCAGGGAAAGCTGCGGACGAGTCAACAAAAGGGAAGCCCGTAGGAAGGTAAGGAGGCCTCCTAAGGAAGGCGGGGGCCCCCCCTGGAGGGCCCCCGGTGGGGCCCCCTAG